CGCTGCGCCCACCCGTGATGCGCTCGCCGACCTGCATTGTGTGCCTTTGACAGCGTACTACCCATATTTTCCTCCCGCACCTGCTTTTCCGTGTGTGGCACTTTTTGAGCTTGGCACACGAGCTCGTATTTTTGTCCAAGTCGCGTCCTCGCGGCCGCGGCGCACGCCCGCCCGCCCAGCAAGGTGGACATCGTGGTCCACGTCAACACTTACTTGCGCCTATGCTCTCGACACAACGGCCTGCTGCCTCGCGGGCCCCGCCAACCTTTCCTGGCAGCGAGCTCCGCCACGCCACGCCACGCGGCCCCTCAGCCCCTCCTCTAGCGTGTTTCGAGCGACGGGGCTATGAAAATATAACGCTTTGTTGGGACCCCGGCGAGTGCCATATTTTCCTCGTGTTTTGTGGAAGTCTGCTCTGCGAGATTGGGCTGGGCGGGGCGGCCGGCCGTTTGGCTGGACCAAAGCACAGGAGGAATGGGGAGAGAGGGGAGGGCTGGGAGCTGGCCTGTGGTGGAGCCAAGTGTTTCACCTTCCGCAAAGGGGCTATTTAAGTTTTGCCACTGCTATCCGCCCTCTTTCGCTTCTTCCCTTTACCACTGCACCCTTTCACCATCTCAATCTCATTGGTAACTCACTCATGTGACGTGAACTCTGTTTCCTGTTTTTCACCAACGCAAGTAAAAAAAGTAGGTACAGTAGGCTCGTCGTAAGGACTCTTCCTCCCCTACACTGTAAATCTGGGGTGTCCAGCAACTGTGCGCTCTAAGTTGCACGACCCAGGTTTCTGTGCAACTTAAAGCGCACAGTTGCTGGACACCTCGAGTTTTGCCACCCTTTCCCTGCAAAGGGTCCAGGCCCAGCCTCGGAAGGGTGTCTTGTGCCTGGACATCCCTTGCCGGGGCCCGTCTGCAGCGATAGGGTGGCAAAACTCGAGGTGTCCAGCAACTGTGGGCTGTAAGTTGCACAGAAACCTGGGTCGTGCAACTTAGAGCGCACAGTTGCTGGACACCCCAGATTTACAGTGTACCCGCACGGAGCCATAAGGAGCCGTGGGCAGAGATGATAGACAAAGCCACCCGCACCCGTGCATGCGGTACAGCACTACTACGAAAAGTACGCGGCCTGAGTTAGCCACCTGGTACTGACGCTTCACACGTTCCAGAACGTCTCTGAAGTCTCGAGAAAAGGATGCCGGTATCTAGGCAGAAAAAAATGTCTTGGGTATGTGGCGGGAGTACGGCAGCACGCGTGTATGTCTCTCGGGTTTCTCTGCCTTGGGAGTGCCGCCGCCTGATAAAGCACCCTCCACTCGGAGTGGTACT